CCCCCCCCCCCTTCCCCTTCCCCTTCCCTCACACCCCCCCACACACACCCCCCCACTTCTCATTCAGTCCCACCCCCCTGGATCATTCCCGGTTTCGAGCAAAAGCCCGGTGCGTCTTTTTACAGCCCGGTTTTCTTTTTAATTTTCTTCATTTTTCTTTATTTTTTAAACATTAATACGGCGTTTTCCACGGTTGCCGTTGACGACCGGGTCCGACTAACTGAAAATAACGTTCCGGGCGCGAGACGGGCGACGACCGGAGGTCCGTTGGGGGGCAACGGCCGCCACAGGCGTCCGCGTCCGCCCGTTTATAACCCTTTTAACACCCCCAAAAGAAGAGCTGTAATTTAAAAATAAAGCTAAACTCGTTTATTTTATTTTATTTGGGTGGAGGCAGTCGTGTTGGTGTCACACAGTTTACATTTGAACTTGTTCCGTGGCCGGTTCGTGTAGCTTGGACTTCCTCAAACAACTCAGAAGTCAAGCTAGGCGGCTAACACGGGCTACTTCCGGTTTGGCTTTTCACAACAAAGCCACGCGCAGCTTTGAGCGCTCGTGACTCCTGCAAATTAGAGATATTTACTTGTTGTTTCTTTCCTATTTATTGCTTGTTGAATCGATTGGAAAAACCTGTTGAGTAAAGCTGTGTTATTATACGTTGAAATGGTGTTGACATTGCGTTACACATTTAGCGTCAATGAAGTGTTCATTTCTGTCCACAGAATTTGCACCAAATTAAGTTTAAATCTTGGCCAGTGATCATTACTAGCCAGCATACAGAATGTTAGAACATCTTGATTATATTTGAATGCTGAATATATATATTTTTTTATTTGTAGAATGCTTTTAAAAGTGCGTATATTACAACTTCCGGTTTGTCTGCAGCTAAATAGGTGACTTAATGTAGAGCTTTCTACTGTATAAACACAACGGACTGTAAGGGGGAGGAGGGGGGGTTACTGACTTTTTTTAAAAACTGTATTTCACAGGCCAAAATCCACCTTTTAAAATCCATCTGATCTAAGTACAACATATAAAAAGTGTTTAGGAAAATTGAAGTTTTTATCTTGATTTGCTTCCCTGTTTGAAGACATTCTCGGGATAGACTTTGGAGTCCATTATCAGTTAACATGCTCAGGCATCTTTTTGCTTGTGGGTCACCGAGGGACCAGAAAAATGCGCCCGACATGCACGCCGTGTAAACAGAGTAGCACTCTTTCCGGCGTGGGACGAGAGGCTTCACGTGCACGCTGGAGTTTCTGCCCAGTGAG